CAAGGACGTGTGGCTGTACCAGCCAGAACTGGAATCCTGGTCCAGACTTGCTAAGATGAACACCAACCGGTACAATCACAAGCTGGCAGTGGTTCAAGGGAAAGTGTACGCAATTGGAGGGAGAGACGACTTTGTGGCGCTATCGGGTGTGGAGATCTACGACAGGAACCAGAACAGATGGAAGGATGGGATCCTACTCCCACAGCCAAGGTATCACCATGCAGCAGCAGTGTTGGACGGCAGCATATACGTGATGGGTGGATTCGCTGCCGATCACAAACCAACAGCTACAACGTACCGCTTCACCCCAGGTGAATCACAGTGGAAGGAAATGGGGAACATGCCTCGAGCAGGAGGCCGCGTCACCGCTGCAACTCTCGAAGGCTACCATCTATGTTGCTGCACTTGGTGAAGGCTGGATGTGCAGGTGGGACCTCAGGAGTACTGGAATTGGGTGAAATTGCCAGTACTTGTCCCATCTATGTGCGCGATGACTGCGTACCAGGGCAAGATTTACATCACTGGAGGCTACAACAGCGGGGGTGTCAAACAGATCACGTGCTACGATCCAGAGACCCAGACATACAAGTCTGCAGGACACTTGCTGAACGGTGTGTATGGCCATGCCTGCGTCACCATACTGAAGTGTTGCTGATTTTAAAGTTGGTGATGATGGCATAAAGTGGACTGTTCTGTGCTAGACTCTGCTAGTAAAGCTACCTATCATGCTATGGTGCTGCATATGCAACAGTAGGGGCCACATTGTTTCAAAGATAAGGTGTCTTGTGAACTTTTCTACATGACTTCAAGATGGTAGAAAGATATTGAGAGATAAGAATGCAGGATCCCAGGAGTATAGAAGTGACAGAACTTAAATGAAGACCTGGTGTTTCATCATATCTCAGAATGAGCCATGGTACATGTACATTGTACTGAGAAAGAAACTTCTTTGCATTTTAAAGATTCTTTAGTTTTGATAACATTGGAAACCTCATCATTTACTATGTGAGCCAAGTACCAGTAACCAAGCAGCATTTATTGTTGTGGTTCCATTGTTTCTCAACACCACCTGTAGTTTGTACATAGGTTTGGATTGCCAGGTGTTGTATCTATAGAGCCTAATTCTCTGAGGGGATTGAGATTTCTGCCCAGCCAATCCTCAAGCTGTAGGTAATGAGGGAATGTGAGATGTGATCATTATTATCCTTAGGCTTATGCTTAGAATAATATGCATTTTTTTACAAGTAGCTGTTGTATGAAAGTTCAAACAAAACCACCATGTTACATGTTAACTATTTCCAGTTAACATCTTATGGTTTTGACACAATATATGTGGTACATGTGTATTTATGTTGTAATGCTCATAATTAGTTTTTTGTCAACAAGTTACTGTTGAAGAGATTTTCCTGTCTGCTGTGTGGATTATTTGTCTATCTAGAATTCATAAGATTTATTTTGCAAATTTCTATTTTCTTGTGAAGGGGACATTTAAGAAAATTCAAGAAACATTCTTCAAATTTTTGTATGTTGATTCTCACACAAAGAATTATATTCTTTTTTTCTTACGAAAAGAAGATATTTGTAGTATCATGCTCACCACCATGAATCTTAAGAATTTTTAGAAAGTATATTTCATAATGAAGGAAACTTTTTATTGCCAAACTTTTTTTATTCGTATGCTCACATTAGTGGCCTTACATACTGTTGCAACTTTTTCTCTCCACTGCTACTTACTTGGGTGAAGTACAAGGCTCATACACATATTTCCTGACAATTCTAATGTTAGCAATATTATTCATCTGTTAATTTAAAAGTAAAACAAGAACAGAAAAAGTTCCAATATATTTATAGCTTGTAGTATTTATTCCATACACACCGTCCACAACTCTGATACAAAATATTATATAGTGACCATGGGAAACTTGTTACATTATTCTGAATAAAACATGGTCAGGGAAACAGATGTAAGACGGTAAATTGAATGAATGGAAGAATACAGAAAAAAGGAAATGTGTAAAATGAACCCATATAACCAACCGGGTTTGTTGTAAAATATGGCAGAACCTTTTTTCCTTCAGCAGTCAACGTTAATAGATATGATAGTCAGTTAAAGCATAAAATAATGCGTGAATCACAGCATTTGTAGAATAAGATTGAAGAACTGAAGACAACAGAGACCCGCAATTCAAATAGTTTCAACTTTTATTCCTTCGTAACTTGAATCCCCCC